ACACAGAAACCTAGCCATCATAAGGCTAAACTGAAGTAACAAGGAGTAGAGTGCATGGCCTAGTAGCAGACAAATACTAGAGGGGTTAGACTGCATGTGAGGTCCTAGCACTTGGCCCTAAATGCACCAATACCATTACAAGAGGGCATGCTAAAAATAAAAAGAATATGATTGGCAATCCTGATCACATTGATCAATGATGCACTGATGGAACATGCTTTAGAATAGAGATCCAGGACCCAAAGAAAGGTATCTGAATAACTGGGTGCTGAACAGAGAAATGCAATGATGGCAACAAAGGAATAGATAGAGAAATACTACCCTCAGGGGTGAATAGCACACATACTGTTCAGAGACTTGCATGTGTACCTATAGTGCCTTAGCACATGTAACACAGCAAGAGACCCCACATCATACTATATTGGGTGGATTAATTGATGCATGTCAGGTCAGAAGCAATGCATTTTGTGAGCTAGATGGAATGTCTGGACACTGGGAAAGAGAACATAGCCATTGTAGCTGACTCTGGATATGAGAGATAATCCTGGTGGTCTGGGACAGTTTACCAGTGTAAGTAATGCATCACTAGAGCAATAACAAAGTGAGCAGATCTGGCTAGGCCAAGTAGCTGATATCAATAGCAAGGGAACAGTGGGCACAGTCCTGGCTCAGAACAGAATAAGCACAGCAACTGTGATATGTGCACAAATAATACCCACAGGGTCTGAAATGAAGTCCTGCACTTTGAAGATACTATAGTAGAATTGTATTAGTAAGTATCACAGTAGAGTATTTAAATACAGTATTGTATGAGTAGAATACAAGTTTCTGACCCCCACAGTTGTGGTGTATTGGGCACAGAAAGCCTTGCACTCTAGCTCTGGATTTGTGTTAGTAACTTCAGGTGAGAGAATAAACTGATTATTGGATACCATTAAGAGCACTGTGAGAACTAAGCGAGGCATCAAAGCTTGCAAAGGACCTGAGCCTAGTTTGATAAGAGGTTTTGGATTGTGCTCTAACCTGAGAATAAGAGAGCAGTGTCTGAAGGGCATCATCTTGAGTTTTTGAGGTATTTGTGATGCATGGCACTACAGGTGGCAGAGGTTCAAACCCTTTGGTCTGTCAGACAGGGTTTCATTGTGTTTGTGTCTCTAGATTGCATATGTTTGAATTCTGTGGGTCTACAATTGGTTTGGAAACTTGTGAACAGAGCTCTGTGCTCTTTGGCACTTGTAGATATGTTTGTGATTGGTTTTTGCTTAGAGCATGAAGCTTTGAGTCATGTATTGTGTTTGTTAGGGATTTTGAGTTGATCTGAGCTATGCTTAGGACTTCTTGGAGAGTTTTGTGAGAGAGTTTTGATGTATTGTATTGAGCTGCAGTACTCTTTGCCTTGAGGCTCAGCAACACCTATTGCCATCTCTTATTTTGATAAAACAAAATGCTTTGAGACTTAGAGAGATCTTGGACTGTTGTAAGCATGCTATTACTGTCCATGCACTGTGATCTTGTTGAAGAAGACAATTATACTTGTTGATTACTACTTTTATCACATTATAATCCTCCCACAAACTAAGAGTTTTGTGTGTGTGTTAGTGTGAGTGTGGTCAGTAGATAATGCTCTGCTGTATCCATTTTCACCTTGCATGCACTCAGGATCCTCTTTATCTGGAGCCCACCATGAGGGAGGGAAGTAGTTTTAAACCAATACAATTGGATTTGAAAGAGATTCCTTTGCGCAATTGTTTTAACTGCGTGAATAACTAACTAAGGTTTCCTTCTCTTAGAGCAAACCTGCTAGTGCACTTTCTTGTAAAGACAGCTAGTGAAAACATGTTGTGTGATTTCCCCAGTGGTGCGGGTACTTATTAAGAGTCAGAATAGCTGGAATCAACCAAACTCAAGAACCAAGGACTAGGGCAGAGAAAGTGGTGAGTGGAATACATCTGCCACCAATTTATCCTCTTACCTTACCCTCATGAAGTCAGAATACTTTGGGAACAGAGCTCACTGCACAGGAACACAGGAGTGAAGCAGGATCACAGCCCACTCCAGTTTCTGATCCTGAGTTTAGTCTTTTTTGACATTGGATCAACCCCAGTAAAGATAACTCTTCAGAAATTGTACCACCCTGTACTTCAAACTCACAACATAATCTAAACCAAAATCTGGATCAGACGATCTCAAATAATATTGAGTTTGCAACTATAGCACCATCAATGCCAAGACTGAATAAAAAAGCTGCACCATGCTTTGAGAGTTCCTCTGATCCCAAGAAACTTGAGTGCTTCTTCTCAAGGTTAGAAGACCTCTTTGACAAGTGTTAATCCCCCCACAAACTAAGAGTTTTGTGTGTGTGCTGGTGTGAGTGTGGTCAGTGGATAGCATTCTGCTGTATCCATTTTCTCCTTGTGCATGCTCAGATCCTCTTCACTGGCTTCAGGTAAGGGGCTTGTCAGGGGTTGGTAGAATATTCTTTGGGAGTCAGAGATGTCATGTAGGAGAAGATCAGGGGTTACATTTCATAGAATTCAATGGATATTTTGAAACTCTTAATAGTGTCTGATGGCCCAGGCAGTAACTGATTGGCATCCATGGCACAGCTGTATGATCACCAATAAGCCTAGAAGAGTTTTGATGATGGAAGCAAGGAGTTCAAAGAACTCATGAGTAAAGTTGGGGTCTGATGGATTGATGTTGATTAAGGGCATTCAGTTTTCTTCACACTGGCTGTGCATAAGAAAAGGGAAGAAGAAGCTTCAAGCTAATTGTTAGACTCAAGCTTTATGTGATCATAAACATGTGATAAACTGATGTCACTTCACACTTTGAGTGGAATGTCAGAGTTCACTGATGTGATTATTGATCATAGTGATTCAAGACCTTACATCAGCTCAAGGATGGAATGGTATAAGAATAAACTTTAGCTCAAAGCTAAGGATTACCAGTGAGAGCAAGCAATCTTATATACTGTACAGATTGAACTAAATATACTACTGCCTATTGTACAATGCTGTGTCCTTTGTGCCTATTGTCCTTAAGTATCACTACTGTACACAAAAGGTTCACTGTGCATTGTTGGATGACACTGTTGTGTCAAAAGACAATGACCAACTGGGCCTGTTGTCATGACCAAGCCTGTCCCATGGTCCTAAGTGCTAAGTCCAGGCACCCTGACTAAGCATGAATAGGGATCATTTTTATGAAAAGGAAGATAAAAAGGAAATAAAAGATAAAAATTGTAACAAAGAGGTGGCAACAGGTGTTGCTGAGCCTCAAGGCAAAGAGTACTGCAGCTCAATACAATACATCAAAACTCTCTCACAAAACTCTCCAAGAAGTCCTAAGCATAGCTCAGATCAACTCAAAATCCCTAACAAACACAATACATGACTCAAAGCTTCATGCTCTAAGCAAAAACCAATCACAAACATATCTACAAGTGCCAAAGAGCACAGA